CAACTCTTGCATGCATGTTGCTTAGAGAACTTAAGTAATTTGCCCACAACTATACCTATAAAAACCAGGATGTAAAACAGGCCCACACTACTTCCCCGTCTTGTTTCTCAGCTAAGGAACTTGGACAAGCACTCTGTAACAACAGCACTCTTGCTCCAACTATTATCTTCTGCTTAGAGATCTTTTAGAGGGCTCAGCAGAACGCTATCATGTCAGGCTGCTCACAACTGCCTGAAACTCCAGTGCCAGGGGATCTGACACCCTCTTCTGGCCTTTGGGCATACTACACTCATACGCACAAACCCACATACAAGACCTTTTGGAAAGGGCAGGCTAGATTGTGTGCGTCAGTGGGAGAACTTTGCTGTGGCATATGATGGCTTCACAGCACCCTCTGTGGCCCCACTCAGGAGATAGACAGAGAACCCCGTTGTCGTCTTCCCTTTCCTTTCTTTCATACCGGAGACTCAAACCACCACTCGATGACATCCCAACCTTGTTTCTTGTTTTAAACTTTTTGGGACAAGGTCTCACCGAGTTGCTCAGGATGGCCTTAACCTTTTTATCATCCTGCTTCAGCCCCTCATATAGCTGGATTACAGGCCTGCATCAACAGACCTGGCTAGCTCTGCCGTCAAAGAGTGAGGACACACATCTACATTTCTCTTACACATGCCACAAATCAAATCACTACTTGAGAAGAGGAAAATAGCTAACATTTTTTAAACTGCAGGGAATCTTTCAAAAGTCAACTTCTTTATTTAAACTTTGTAGTGCTGGAAATCAAACTGAGGGCTGATCTACATTCCCACACTCATCATATATTATTTTTATGGGGGAAAACAAAACAAAAATTTATGAAATAGTTCAGGGAATACTGCTCACCAACGGCATCATTCTTCTCCTTGATACTACCTAAGGGAATAAGGAAGTTCCAGTTATGGGCACATGTTGCCCTACTTTTCTCAGTGTTCCTCAACTTAATTTTAACACTTTCACTAATAACCTAGTTGCAACAGTCCCAAGAGAACTGGTTTTTAACAAGATCAGACAGGCATTACTATCCTAATAGTTTTAGTATACAGCACAAGCAGAGGAACAGTTTGACAGGAAGCATCCTCAGTGGAGCAGTAAAGGACTTCCGGGGTTCTGCTAACATGCTCTTGCCGGGAAGCGCCAAATAAAGCCTGTAATGATGAAGGTTTGATGACAGTTGGGTCAGCGTTGTGAGAAATGGGGTTTGAGAGGCTAGGGGAGCTGTGTAACACCAAATACGTGTCATCTTAAAATACACAGCAGTAGTCTGGTTCTCCCACTCACAAAGCTCTAGGCCATCCTTCTACAACACCACGAACCTACTCTGCACATGCCAAGGAATGCACCCACACAGCAGACATCATCTAAAACAGTCTCTAAAAATCAAAGATCAAGCTAGGCATGGCTAGTGTATTCTCATAATCTTAGCATTAAAGGATGCTGAGGCAGAAGGACAGTCAACAGAGTTCGAGGCCAGCCTGAGATGCACAGTGAAATCCTGTCTAGAACACACACACACACACACACACACACACACACACACACAGTGAAATCCTGTCTAGAAAACACAGAGAGAGAGAGAGAGAGAGAGAGAGAGAGAGAGAGAGAGAGAGAGAGAACCAGAATCAGAGTTCAATAAATGAGTGCCTGAAAGCTTTCATCCTAACGTATCCTGAGTCCTACATCTGAGATGACAACTCTCTCAACAGGCTGAAACCCCAAGGCAAACAGGATGGTATTTCATTTTGTTTTGTTTCTCTTAGTCAGGGTCTCCTATTGTTTTTAGCCTGGCTCCTAACCCTGCCTCTACCTCTCCAGTACTGGGATCGCAAGTATGTGCTACCACACCCAGAACCAAGTTGGAAGGTATTAACAGCCCAAAGCATCCACGGGTGAGGTGTGAACCAGTCAAGAGGAGTATATGGAGGATGGAGAGATGGCACTCTTCTAGAGGACCAGCGTTGAGTTCTTAGCGCCTACATGGTGGCTCACAATCACCTATAACTCTAATTCCAGGGGATTCAACACCTTCTTCTGGCTTCTGAGGGCACTTACATGGTGCACAGACATATGTAAAGGAGACATATAGGCAAAATAGCATACATATAAAATACTAAAATAATATAAATAGAGCCAGGTGTGGTAGCACACATCTTTAATCTCACTCAGCACTTGGGCAGCAAAGGCAGGGGGGATATCTTGGAGTTCAGTCTGGTCTATGTAACAAGTTCCAGGACAGGCAGAGCTACATAATGAGATCCCATCTCTAATAAGTAAGAGGTGAGGTGTGCATGTGTGAGTGAGTGAGTGAGTGAGTGAGTGAAGTGAGTGAGAGAGAAGAGAAGAGAAGAGAAGAGAAGAGAGAAGAGAAGAGAAGAGAGAGAAAAAAGGGAGAGGGAGGGAAAAGGGAGAAAGCACACTTGTTTCATGGTAGTAGAAGTCTGATCAGCCAATTAGACTTCAAACCCCCCATTCCTCCTGCCTCAGCCTCTTGAGTGAGTGCTGGGATTACAAGCAAGTGCCACCTTGCCTGGCCCTTACTCTGGTTTCTTTCCAACTGGATCCCTCCTCAATCCTGGTCCCTGATGTAAGCTGCAGGTACTCACTCTTCCTTCCGGCCAAAAGAAGAGATACATAAGTCACTGACCCTGAAACACATTTTCAAGTGTAACTCACTTAGATATTATTCCTGGTCCAAAGACAACTGGATAATTAGTAGAAAGTTACATATAAATTATAGTTAATTAAAAAATAATTTAACATTTATTTTACTTATGGATGTGTATATGTAGGTACCTGAAGAAGCCAGAGACACTGGATCCCCCTGAAGCTGGAATTACAAACCACTGTGAGCTGCCCAATGTGGATGCTAAGAACTTAATTCCAGTACCCTACAAGACCAATATGGGCTTTTAAGTGCTGAACAATCTCTCTAACCCTATAGCTAATTTTTATTTGTATTCACAATATATGTGCTATCTATATGCAGATATAGGAGAAACAAGGACTGAAGCTACCCCAGGCAGTGGTGGTGCACATCTTTAATCCCAGCACTTGGGAGGCAGAGGCAGGTATTAATTAGATCTCAGTGAGTTCAAGACCAGCCTGGTCTCCCACAGCCAGTTCCAAGACAGCCAGGGCTATACAAAGAAACTGTCTTGAAAAACAACAGGGGATTGGGAAGAGGGAAGAGGGGGGATCTGTGGTTGGTATGTAAAGTGAATAGAAAATTTCTTAGGAAAAACAACAACAAAAGAACTGAAGGCCAGCCTCAACTCTAGGCACTGTGGGTTACACTGTTCTCAAAGCAGTCAGTTCCATTCCATTACTCCATTTCCTGTAGGACACCTGGGCTTTCTCTCAACTCTCTCTTATTCTGGGTAAATACACAAAAATAGGCAATGACCTTCACGTTAGTTTTTCTAACACATGCAATGTGGTAACACGAGACAAGAAACAACTATAATCCCAGTGACACTGACACAGCACTTTGTGGTTTGCAAAGCGTTTTCACAAATACCATGTTACTGGGTTTCAAAACAGCGTACTGAGGATGGTATAACAGAGCTATTTGCATTTTACAGAGGACAGAGCTGAAAGAGTAGAGGTTTGTGGTACACAATTCCACATTATCAAATCCTATTCAGAAATTACCTCACTGTATGCACTTTATATCTTAGTAAAAAAAAAATTAACCAAAATATATTCTAGCCTAGGCTCACCATGGGATTAGTGTTCAGAGGTAGGAGGACTGTCCAATGTTTGAGGATAACCTGGTCTACATAACTACAGGCTACCCAAGGCTAGGACAGCGGCTCAGCTGGTAAAGTGCTTACTTGTCTTGCAAGCATGAGGATCTGAGTTTGATTTCCAGAACCCACATAAAAAAGCTGGGTATGGTGATGACGCACTGAATTCTAGCACAGAGGAGGCAGAAAACAGGTAAATTCCGGTCTCACTGGCCAGCCAGTCTAGCCTAATTGGGGGGTTCAGCCAGTGAGAGACTTTTTCTCAAAAAACAAGATGGCTGAGGACAGCAAACGAAGCTGTCTTCACACCTGTGTACACACATACATGTACACCCTTACACGTATGTGCAAAGGCAAAAGACCCCTAAGCCCATCTATTTTTTTCCTAAGAGAGGTGGCATGCTTGTAATCCAGCACTTGGAAAGCAGAGATGGGAAGATCTGGGGTATTGCTTAGCCTCAGCTATGTAAGACTATCTTAAAACAAAATAGAACAAGCCAGGCGTGGTAGTGTATGCCTTTAATCCCAGCACTTAAACAAGCAAAAAAGAAATACTAAGCAATATATGTTTGCCCAAGAAATGTTCCTCGAAATTCCATTTCTAAGTCAGACAGTGGTGGCACACACCTTTAATCCCAGCGCTTGGGAGACAGAGGCAGGCAGATCTCCTGAGTTTGAGGCCAGCCTGGTCTACAGAGCAAGTTCCAGGACTGCCAGGACTACACAGAGAAACCCTGTCCCCCAAAAAACAAATGACAGTGACAGTGACAGTTCAAGTTCTACTTCATACTATTATGATTTACAGAATCTGTAACAATCAAGGGCCAATATATTTTAAACTCATTTCTCTACCTAGCTAAATTTTAAGACATTTTATTTGTATTGCTCCTTAATTACAATGTGGGAGATATGGATTTATAAAAGTATTACTGTACCTGTGAATGCTAATTTTGCTCATAGGCAATGGGTCTTTCTAATTATCATTTTCCCTGCTGGAAAGAAAACCAACTACCTATGAGGCTTTGGGAGCAGAAAAGAGAACAAGCAGGCTGGGCACCTGGACTGAAATGATGACTAGGAAAGGACAGGACATTAATAGTGCATCCTCTGAAACCCCTGTCTAATTCCCAAGAACATAAGTAACTTTAAATGGATCGTTAACTTCAAATTAAAAACGAAAACCCATGCTCAAAGGCCAGTCTTGATAAGGTTTACCTCCAATGCCAATGCGGTCTTGTCATAAGCACACGGTACTCTCTTCTGGATTGCTTTTGCAAAGACAGGTCCATTCTGTGTGGATGGCAAAGGGTTGATCGCTGCCCCAGGAGTACTGGCAACTGTAGGTAGAGGAGTTGTGGTCTGAGGTTGAGCGTATGCGTGAGCAGGTTCTGGGATGCCATAACTGTTAGAATTCCTATTTCCATGTTTTCCATGCGGTGAGGACCTCACAAGCTTTTCAACGTAAGGGACAGGAATCATTCCAACCCGGCCATCCTTGTTCCGGGCACTCCACCACTGTTCTTCAGGCTTTTCTATTATCACTAGAATCTCACCCTTTTTAAAGGGTAGGTCTTCAGCATCGTTCCCAGGAAAGTCATACAGAGTCCGCACATACTCCACATTTTCTTCTGCTGCAGACAAGTTGGGCGCTGAGACAGAACCCATGGGTGGACTTGGATACCTTAAGAGAGAAACAGAATTATTCTGAAGAAAAATCTTATCTTATTCTATATTGGTATCTGCCCAAACTCTACTAACCACCCTTCTCTATCCACCTTCACTGTACTCTCAATAATTAAGAATGTTTGGTCACTGTACACTCTGGTTGTACTTTCTGTACTTTAAATAGACTTTGTGTCATGTGTGCACATGGACACATGCACCATCACCCCCAATGTGTTTCAAGAAGGTTTTGTTTTCAGATAACGGATCTGAATTTATTTAACTCTGGGTTCTGTTGAAGCCATCTTTTGTTACAACCATCACAGACACATTTTCTCACACTCTTCATCTATGGCTCACATCCTGCATAGTTACAACAGATGCAAACTATGAAAACCATGGCCAGTTAACTGGCTCAGCAGTATGTTTACTGTGCAAACCTTATAACCCAAGCTTGATCTCCAAATCAATGTAAATGCTAGAGAACCAACTCCATACAGTTATCTTCTGACCACAGACATGTCTGTACCCTCCTCCCCAGCTGATAAAACTAAAAAACAAACAAACAAAACAAAAAACAGAAAAAGAAGTCAAGTGTGTAGTAAGATTGTGTGTGTGTGTGTGTGTGTGTGTGTGTGTGTGTGTGTGTGTGTGTGTGTGACTGACTGTGGTGGCACACGCCTTTAACCCATGCCCAGGAAGGCAGAGGCAGACAGATCTCTAAGTTCCGGGCCAGTGTGACCTATAGAGCAAGTTCCAGGTCATCCAGCCAGAGCTGAACACGAGTCCTGGCTCAGAAGGGAGAGGGGTGAGAGGGAGGGAAGGGCAGTGCTTGCCTACTGTGTACAAGGCCTGGATCTGAGCTGTCTCTAACAAACGAAACCAAAATCAAACCAGATACATTCTATTTTAATCCAAGTTTTAAAAATTCAAGTTGGGTGGCGCACGCCTTTAATCCCAGCACTCGGGAGGCAGAGGCAGGCGGATCTCTGTGAGTTCGAGGCCAGCCTGGTCTACAGAGCGAGATCCAGGAAAGGCGCAAAGCTACACAGAGAAACCCTGTCTCGAAAAACAAAAAAAAAAATTCAAGTTGGACTACTCTCCAAACAGTCCTCCACAGTTCTTTTGTTTTTACCGTTTTAAGAAGTTTCACTGGAAGAACAAAACAAAGAACAACAATAAAAAGAAAGAAAAATGGGGTGGAGAGATGGTCATTACAGTGATTATGACACAAATACCTGAGTTCAAACCTCTAGTGCCTAAGTGAAAGGTCACGCATGGCCTGAAGTACCTGTAGGGTCGGCCGGCACAGGGGAGGCAAAGGCAGGGAAGTTCCGTGGCCAGCCAGCAGGCTTGGGAAGAGACCCTCTCTCAAAAAGGAAGGTAGAGGGCCCAGGGAAGTTACCCAATGGGGAAAGGTGTTGGCTCTGCAAGCTTGCCGCTCTGAGTTTAATCTGCAAGAGCCTTGTGAAAACCTGGATGTGGTGGCACCTGTAACCCCAGCACTCCTAGAATGAGATGAGAGCCAAGGCAAGAGTCACCTAGAAGCTTGAGGGCTAGCTAGTCTGGAATATTCTCTGAAACAGCAGAAACAAGAGATCCTGAGTGAATCCTGAAGGCTACCATTGACTTCACATGTGTGCTGTGGCAATGTGCCCCAACCCTTGCAAAATAAGTAAGTTAAAACAAAAGGTGGAAAGTGATTTTTTAAAAAACATTTCATCATTTGCATGGGTGTTTTTGTCTGCATGTATGTCTGTATACCATGTGTGTGCTGTGTTGTGACACAGACGTCAGATTCCCCGAAACTGGAGTTACAGACTGTTTTGAGACACTATGTGGGTGCTGAGACTCAAACCTGGGTCCTCATAACTGCTGAGACACTGTAGTGATTTAAATGAGAATGGCCCCTACAGGCTCATGTGTTTGAATACTCCAGTTGGTGGAACCTTTTGGGAAGGATCAGGAGGTGTGGCCTTGCTAGGAAAGATTTGTCGCTGGGGGAGGGCTTTGGTATTTCCAAAGACCCATGCCATTCCAGTCATCTCTCTCTCCCTCTGGCTTGTGCCTGTGATTCAGAATATAAGCTGCTGCCATGCTCCCGCCACAATGGCCATGGACTTTAGTCCTGTGAAACCACGAGCCCCAATACACATTTTCTTCTCTAAGTTCCCTTTGCCAAGTGTCTTATCACTGCATAGAAAATTAACCAAGACAGCCACCTCTTCAGCCCTGAAGAGCAATGTCTGAGGAACACACTCACTGTCAACCTTTCGCCCTCACATGCAAGCATACACACATACTTGCACCCATCCACATGCACACATATGAACACATACCCAAGCAAAGGGCTTACATGCTTGCCAATTTTTTGTTTGTTTGGTTGGTTTGGTTTTTCGAGATAGGGTTTCTCTGTGTTGTTTTGGTGCCTGTCCTGGATCTTGCTCTGTAGACCAGGCTGGCCTTGAACTCACAGAGATCCGCCTGCCTCTGCCTCCCGAGTGCTGGGATTAAAGGCATGTGCCACCATCACTCAGCACTTGCCAAATTTTTAAAGAATCCCAAATTCTATCTTCAACAAGAATTATCATCTAACCATTAAAATAAAAGTTGTACTGCAAAATTCACAACCATCAGCTCACTACCACTTTGCTTACAGAGTCAACATGTATTTGCCATGGAGAATGCACATCCAGAGTCCCAGCTGGGAGTGTAGCTCAGTCACGTGGCAACACAAAGCTCTGGGTTCTCTCCCCAGCACCAGTTAGGGAAAACAAACGGGTTTGAGAAGCATAATATCTGCTCTTCAGTAACAGCTTATGAAAAACTAGTACAGAAGTCTCTCTTCACCCAGGAAACATTCCGAAAACATGCCAATGTGCCAAATCTGGGGAGAAACCGCTTACCACTCACTACCTTTCCCAATTTTTCCTCAAGCACAGAATCTACCCGATTGAAAAGAATCTCAGTTTTAATCAGGGTCTACACCTCCTTAGGATATGGCATTTACTGGTTTAATCATTCATATTATTCTAATTTATTTTATCTTCACTTATCTAATGCTCATTTTCTTTCTTTCCTCTGATTAGTGACCTAAGTAATATTCCCTAGAGCTACCCTGACATGTTTTATGTTGTTTACTTAGAGTGTATTTTGCTGTGCTCACACATTCCTGGAAGTGCACATGGAGGTCAAAGGACAACTTGCAGGAGTCAGTTCTCCCCATTCTACCAGTAGATTCAACTCAGCTTGTCAGGTTTGATGACAAGCACCTTTACCCACTGAGACATCTTGCTGGCCTTTGAAGCTTTTTGTTTTGTTTTTGAGACAGATTCTCTCTATCTGACTATCCGGAACTCACTATGTAGACCAGGCTGGCCTCAAACTCACAGAGATCCACCTGCTTCTGCCTTACCAAGTGCTGGGATTAAAAGTATGCCACCATGCCCAGACAGTTTATGGCTTTCTTCAAGTCCTGTATATACATACCTATGAGAATTTCTATACTTAATGTTAGCAAGGGTGTTTCTGTATGCTTCATGATTACCTTTCTGGCAGGATATTTTATTCTATAAGGCTACTCAACGGAGCAACCCTGGATATTAAGTGTTTTTCTAATTTTCCCCAGATCTTCTGCAAGAGCAACATGTACTCTACACTGTTGAGCTGTCTCTCTGGCTCCAAGCTTCCTCAGTGCTGTGGACCCCTTTGAGTATAGTTTTGGTTTCTTTTCGCTTTTTCTTGGTGCTAGGATCTGAACCTGTGATCTTGAGAGTGCTAGACACACACTCTTCCATTAGGTATATTTTCTCAACATTAGACTTTCTATAAATGCCCGAAATTGAAGAACTGAACTTGTTTTGTTTTTTGAGACAGCATTTCCCTGTGTAACAGCCCTGGCTGTCCTGGAACTCTTTTGTAGACCAGGCTGGTCTCGAACTCAGAGATCTGCCTGACTTTGCCTCCCAAGCGCTGGGATTAAAGGTGTGAGCCACCACCACCCGGCCAGAACTGAACTTTTTTTATGGTCCTTGGTACAGGCTATTACACTGTTTTTCAAAAGGCATCTTACATAATTGGCAAACTTATACCTTTCTAATACAAATAACTACTTAAATTTAAAAACCTAAAAAAAACCTTGTTTCTTACTTAATATCAATCCACCTAAAAATGGACAATGGGAGCAGTAAGCATAAGAAAAAGTTAATATTTATTCATGGAAAAGTTTAGCAAGCCTTTTGTTTATTTTAAAGGTTTATCTCTCATGTTTAATTATGTACATATGTGTATGGGCATGTGCACATGAATGTTAAGTGTCTGGGGAGGCTAGAAGAGGACAGATGCCCTGGGGCTTAAGTCAGTTGTGAGCTGCCTCGTGTGTCTTGGGAACCAAACTTGGGGCTTCTGAAGGAACAGCAGGCGCTTTTAACTGAGGAACCATTTCTGAAGCCTCAAGCTTTTCGTTTTTTTTTTTTTTTTTTTTTTTTTTTTGGTTTTTCGAGACAGGGTTTCTCTGTGTAGCTTTGCGCCTTTCCTGGATCTCGCGCTGTAGACCAGGCTGGCCTCGAACTCACAGAGATCCGCCTGCCTCTGCCTCCCGAGTGCTGGGATTAAAGGCGTGCGCCACCACCGCCCGGCGCTTTTCGGTTTTTTTAAATATTTATTTTATTTTATATGTATGAATATTTTGCCTGCATGTATACATGTGCACTTGCATACCTGTACTTCAGAGGTCAGAGTCTGATCCCCTGGAACTCAAGTTATGGATGATTATGAGCCACCATGCGGGTGTTGGGAATTGAACCCAGACCCTCTCCAAGAGTAACAAGTGCTCTAAAAAGCTGAGCCATCTCCCTAGCCCCAAGAACTTTCTTTTTAAAGATGGCCTTTAACTTACCATTCTCCTGCTTCCAGTTCCCATATGCTGGAACTGCAGGCATAAACCACCAAGCTTGTGGTTTGTAGTCTTGGTGACAGACTTCTGTACTAGTTTTTCATAAGCTGTTACTGAAGAGCAGA